ACAAGAGCCACATGTCCAGCTGAGCAGCAGGAAATGTACGTCTAGTATGAACAGCACACGCAGAGAGGCACGAATACCATACGCAGATCAGCACGGGCAGCATACATAATCCAGCACGGGCAGAGCACACCCATACACACCCACACACCTAGGTACGGGAATCGCCCACGGAGCTCAGCAACGGAAACCAGCTCGGCACGGAACCAATCACCGCCCAGCACAGAAGACTCACCCTGCTCAGCAGTGGCGGCAGCTCCCAGGTCGGCGCGAGAGCCGCTCCCAGCTCAGCCCGAGGGTCTGAGGGCTCGGCGCGCAGCTCAGCAGCCGCCCGCAGCGCCGTGTAGCGCAGGAGCCGCCCGGACAGCGGCGCGGACGGGTGGTCGGCGCGGACGCCATGTGAGGCTGAGCTACGCCGTCCGTCGGCAGATAAATCGCGGTCTGCTGCAGGCTGGGTCACGAGCGCGGCTCAGCTTCGCGGACGCGGAGGCGGCCGGCACCCTGGGGGACCGACGCCAGCTGCCGCTGCGCCCGCGGGGGTCCGCGCCGGGCAGCTCCACATGCTGAACGGAGCTCGACTCGCTGCGAAGCTCCGCGAGAGCGGCGGGCGGTGCGCCGCTGGTGCTGCTCGCAGTGGTGTCTGTTTCTGGGGAGCCATCCGGTCGCTTACGGCGGCCTCCCCATGAAACCGTCAGTGAGCCTCAGCGGGTGCCGCTAAACCTTCCCCTCGTCGGGGTCCGCTGTCGTGGCAACCGCCGCTCCCCAGAGGTGACGCTCGACTTCCAGGGGTTTGGACGTTGATGGTGTCCTCATCGGTACTTCCCGGCTGCCCGTGTGTTATTTGAAGGGACTATCAGACCGCGCGCCCCACGCGCGAGGAAGCTCGACATTAGAGTTTCGGAGGGAGCCGTCAAATAACAATGAAATGCACTTGAAACTAGTTTAGATGTGCATTAGAGATATTTAGTTGAAGAACGCTGCCACGTTTTGCAGATATTTCCTTGACTTCGAGAAGGCCTTTAACGCCCCTGGTACCTGCGCTGGTTGCGCCCCTGCTACCGGGCCGCGTGGCCGCCGTTAGGCCACAGGAGCAGGGCGGGATCGCGGGGTCACACGGATCCCATGATTGGAACGATCCGTAGCAGCTTTACCACCCCGTCGTAAAGTCCTAAACACCGTGACGCACTAAATACCAGAACGAAGCATTTCTGTGTGGCTTTGAGTTACTTTTACGAGCTTTTCTGATACAAAGATTAGAACAAATTCAATAAAATGTTGCTTGATGTCGCCATCATGGCTGCAGAAACATTCGACGCCAGGCTGCAGCGGGTCGTTATACCGTTTCTGGTCGTAAAACGCTGTCGCTAATGGTGCTGAGGAAGAAAGGCTGGACAAGCTGCCTTGTGCGCCGACGCCAGCGACGTTTCTGCGGCCGCCAAGTGTTCCCCTAAACATTGATACGCATCTGGAGCCGGTAGATTATAGGACTCCAGCGTGACAAGAGATGCTGCAACGATTGCACCACTTTGCGACATCGTCGCCGGAGCGTATAACGACGGCATCAGGCCTCTGCTTAGTGCCTGTGCAGGGGGGCCGTGCCCGAGACCGCCGCGGTGTGACCGGCCGTTTAGCGGACCAGCCCACTCTGCACAATCGGAGGGAAGGCCGCACCGCGGGCGCACGCAGCTCGACCTGCGCGGCGTTTTACGACGACTGGCGTCACGGTCGTTTACGACAAGCTGCACGCCCCGAAAGGCGGTGCGTAGCTCGAAGTGTAAGCCTCCGAAGGTTGTTATTAAAGATAAATGAAATGGCCGCCCAGGGTCTAAGTGCTGGAGGCGGGGATTCTCTACCAGGCCGACCGCGCGCCGCTAAACTGCTTTGTACTGAGCAGCAGCATAACGTGTGTTCGCACTTTGTTTTCGTTTGGTTGGAACCAGACTTGCATAATGCCGCTTTGACATGTGCACCAGACCTCATACGATCTTCCATTGAAATCAATATAATTTCAATATTTTGTCACTGAAAAACGTTTATCCCGGCCACCTTTGTCAAGCCAATTTCCTCAGCCTTCTTCAACCCCGGCTGGAAAGCAGAAAGAAATGCGTCAAGAAAGTCAAATTTCAGTCGGGAACCGATACGCCCATTGGGAAGTATAGCATCGCAAGTCGTAAAGGGACCTGTTTGTAGTTGCGCACATCCCTTGCACAGACGAACCTAGTTGAGGATCAATCCCCAACGGCTATCCGTTGCCTGTACCCACAGGCGGATGGGTATCTACAGCCTATACTGTAGTGTTCTGTAACATTATTGTGAAATTTGTGTATTCATTATTGGTACAAACCACTTATGGCCACTTTTATGTCACTCAGATATTAGTAATCCCCACAAAACAGTTATGGAATGCACTAGTGTCTTTGGCTTCTTTTTGTTAACATGTTGACAGGCTAATGAATAAAGTCTGATTTTCTCCGAATTCATAATAGCGCCTATGAATGCGTTAAAAGGGTGTGTACAGGTTTTTGACAGTTAAGAAAATGCAATTTTTACGATACGGGTTGAAAGTGTCGCATTGCGATTGCAGGACACGGAGCTAAATGCGCTGTTAAGGGTACTCACGCTTTATCTAAAAAAAAACCTTGGAAAATCCGTAGCTCCTGGTGCGGCTGATAGTGGTATCTGTTTCCATGAATTTGAAATTTGAGGAATTAGCATAATTACATCGAATCACACTCAGAAAAATTGTTGGAACTTCAGACGAATATCGTTATGCTCTATATACTTGCTACACTAAGGTGTTTCTACACTTCACTGAGGCGCTATTAACTTCACTAAGTTAATACACTAAGGCTACGCTTCACGCACTAGGGCGCCTTTTGCGACACGCAATGAGCGACACAACAAGCCACGTTGAAGTCATCGTCGCGTAGATAAAACCAAAGCTTACGCAAACGAAGACTGACACTTTTGGAAAACCTAGAAAGCGATGTAAATAGGTTTTGTCACTGCATTACAACCTCCGCATCTCATGACCCTGACCGGTGGAGCTGAACCGATACTTGGCGTTCGCATACGAGGCTATAGAAAGCCTGGCTTGAAAACTAGGTGCCCTTGTGCGCCTGGCAAAGTCCGACTACTGCAATAAAAATCGGGGAATTTGCCTTTTTATGTAATGACTTTATTAAATGGCTGTGACATTTAATGACCGCGACTGTGTATTACGAAAGAAAACGAAACTATTCTGGATGCATACCGACGCAGGCTTCAAGCTTCGGTAGCTATCATGGCCTTTTGTTCTTCCTTTTGTTCTATAGACAACAGTGGCACGTTTGGGTAAACGTTCTAAATGTGTCCTTTGCGTGTGTCTCGCAAGTCGCCTGGAGTTAACGATTCCGGAGATAACACACCATCAATATGTTGCTTATCTATGTTACCATATCTCATATTCTATGTATGCATATATATTACAGGTATACATGCGTTGTAATGCAATATGCATAAGAGAATATAGATAATGATTTGTCTCCAGAATTTTGAGGTCCAAGATATTTGCGAGATCCTTGAAAAGAGCATATTTACAGGGTCTACCCCCAATCGTGTGCCTATTTCATTTTTGGTATCTAAATTAAGCTTCATTCTGAAGCTGTCACCAACTTGCATTTTTACGATATATAAGCTATGGTTTACAAAGATTAGCCATACTGTGTATTACACAAACGCGCAGGCACACAAACACACGCATATACATATTCATTTATTTATGTATTATGTATATATACGTGCACAGCTTTATACAATATATACATTTACGTCTGTGCGCGGGTTTATTTTGGATTTATTTTATACTTCCTACAACAGATTATCGTTTTTCATCTAAAGGTCGCTGTCAAATACTGGTGATAAAATACAAACTCCAAAGACTATGTTTACACAGTGATTAAGATGGGGCATACTATCCCGGATGAAGTAACTGTTCAAGCTATCGGCCTCGTTTAGTGCAACGATAGATATCCTATGGTAGCAATGCAACGTTGCACATCCCCATCAGTAGCCAACGACATATATCAGTCCATGCTGTTTACAGTTGCGCAAAAAAAGATCTTTAAGATTTCCGGGGATGAACAACTGGAAATGCGAAGACCGAAATGCCGTTGTTCTGTCACCTTAGCGCCAGAACACCGAACATCTTCCAGTTTCCAAGACTTAGCAATGTCTGGCGACGACTGGAGAATGAACTTACCGAAATGCTGCGTAGATGCCGACACAATAGACGAGGACGATAGTCAGAACACTTACTCCACTCAGAACCTGTTGCGAGCGTGAGCGTGGGCGTAATTTTAGCGTAGACAACTGCAACTGCAAACTGAAGCGTAGACAACTGCTTCTCGAGACAGGACAGTGAGCTGACCACAAGTAGGCAGGGAGGCACAGCAGTCGTAAGATACACAGCAGGATTGCACCATACTGTCTCGGAGTAATCGATATGATGCAGAAATGTAGATGGGCCATTCATCAACATTTTGGGGAAGAGTCGTGACAATACTGGTATTACAATCGCAACTAGCCTTGTTTTGCATCGTATGTTGACGGAATAAGCCCCACTATGTGGCCGAAGCCACACAGCGAGCATTATTTCCTCAGATCCCTTCCGATGGAAGGAAATGACCCATGTGGATGCAGAGGATTTTGGCGTCGCTAAATAGGTCAGGAAGACGTAGCGGTGGTCGTAGCCCCACCGATTGCAAGCTTTGACCGTAACCGAACGATAAGCCGAGACCAGTACGCTGTACTCATGTGGATGTCCGCAGCCCAAACTGACTGATTCCCTCGGAGCTTATCATTCCATCCAATTGGCTACGGTCAAGGAAGGTATGGCGGTGAAGGAGCGCTTCCAGTTCCAGAGTATTTCGCTTTCCGAACCGCCTCCTTTCGCCTCCACGGCCAAGGACAGTGGCTCCCTTCGTCCCATTACCCTTTCCTCGCACCGGCGCCAAATGCAGCTCTCTCCTTTGCCATGTATTATGTACACACGTAGAAATAACATTTGTGCTGGCCGGCTGCGGCGGCGCAGGCGGCGCGGCCAGCCGACTGTGTCCACACCGGTCCGGTGGCCGCCGCCCACGCTCCCGGCCGGCATGCATACTTACACTTCACACATACATTCTATTGAATCAGACTAGCACAAAAACTCGCTCGGCTGTTTGAACGGGTTCCGCGAGCCGGTACCGAACACGACGGCAAACACGGCAGCCGGCCGCGCGCCGCGGACCCGTGCAGGACGCGCACATGGACGCGCCGCGCGTCGACCCGGGTGCCGCTCGTTGTGCGGACATGCGCGGCACCGTGTGTTAAATATGACTGCTAACGAGCGACACAGTATAGTCATAACAGGGATACAGACGACGCACAATATGGGCAATATGAGTTATAATGTATCACAGCTGATCGCCGCCCACGAGCGACGAATGTTATGGTGATTCACACGCACAACGGTCCAACAATCCGGCCCTGCAGCCGGGCCCACCGCCGGCGCCGCGCCGCTCAATACGCCTTTTAATGTCACAAAAGCAAAGGTCAGCGCGATAAAATTCCGGCCTGCATCTGTCGGCGATCGTGAGCGATTAGCCCCGAGTTAGCCGGCCCTATCGGCGGGCTGGATCGCGCCGGGGGGCGGGGACGGGGCACGGAAAAACAGAGTCCGACTGCGGGGCTGCGGTGCGTCCAGCCCTCCGCGCTCAATCGCGGCGCGCGGGCGACGTTCGGGGCGCGGCGCGGCTCACAGAGAACGGCCGGCAGCGCGCTGAAAGCGGCGCGAAACGATTATCTGCTGATAGAGTGTGCCGCACTAATGAAGTTCGGGGAGGCCCGAAACGAAAGTGGTCGATTGCATCTTAATCGTTGTGTGTCTTAATGCTTGCCGCTTTGTTTACTCTAACGGCGGCATTAGCGCAATTACGAGAGCACTCAGTTGCCGGTGGGAGCGGCCGACGGAATGGCCAATAAAGCGGCGACCGTGGCGCGTTGAGAGTGCAACCGTTTGGCGGCGAGTGGCCACCTCCGGCCGGTCATTAGCGCGACCAAGGAGGCCGCCAGCACCGCCGCGTCCCATCACACGGCATCGACTCGCCGCCGTCCCCAAATCCATCCGGGGAGCATTCTTTCCGCTCCGAGGAATGCCGGCGCGCCGTAACGATTGAGCAGAGCGTAAATCACTGGCCGGTCGGGCGGCGACCCTTCCAAATAGCGCGTACCCCGGCCGCCGCCGCCACCGGTCCACCGGACCGGGCGGAGAGGCGCGGCCGGTCGGCTCCCTGCGCCGCGGAGAGAGCGGCGGCCAGAGCGACGGCGAGGAGAGAGGGCCACGGGCAGACCCACGCGCGGCGTTAGCGGCGGCGCGCGAGAGAGCGTGAGCGCTTGTGAGGTGGTCAGCTGATGGCCGGCGGCCCCGTCCCCGACCCGTGATTGGCAGAGCAGCCGGCGCACCGGTCGTCTCCACTCGAGGTAATCACGGGGCCGCGAGCGGCGCTCAATTACGGGACAAAATGACGAGCGGCCGACAAAATGGTCAGATGGCTGGTGGGCGGGCCGGCTGCACGATAGCGAGGCGCGGACACTGCGGACACCGCGCGGACACTGCGCGGACACACGAGGGCGTTAAAGCACTGTCTGGCGGCGCCGCGGCGGTGCCGCTACCGACCGTACGTCCGTTCGCACCGCTCCATCACCTCGAACACGTTGTCGATGCGCGCGTTCAGGATCTTGATACTCTTCTCGGGAAGTGTGGGCAAGAAGTGCAGCAGCTCCGGGTGGCGCTGTCGGAAGGCACGCCGCAGTCGCGCGCCCACGTCGCCGGCGTCGCGCAGCTGGCGGATCTTCTCTACCGTGCGGCGCCGGAACACGCACGTGGCGTCCAGCATGGTGCGGTGGTACGGCTCGTACTTGTCCAGCAGCCGGTAGCCGTGCAGCAGGCCCGACTCGTTGTCCAGGAAGAGCAGCAGCCCGGTGGCCGGGTCGCGCACCAGGTTGTGCGCAGGCGCCTCCATCATGCTCGGGTTCCACTGCATGTTGTACAGGTTGTTGACGATGCGGTCGAGGTTGGCGGTGAGATAGTCGAACACGATGAGGTCGGACCACTGCGCCAGCTCCAGCACCGTGGCGCGATGCTGCTCCAGCTCCAGGCCGCGCAGGTCTAGGTCGGTCGGGTGGAGGCGGCGCTCAGCGCTGCGCAGCACCTCCGGTATGTAGGCGGGCGCGAGCTGCTCCTGGAACCGCGTCAGCACCACCGGCCGGTCCTCGGCCCACTGGGCCAGGTTGAGCTGCGCGCGCACCGCCGACCACTGCCACTCGCCCGGCTGGACCAGCATGAGCGAGGTGGGCGGCAGGTTGCCGATGCCCAGCTCGCGGCTCAGCAGGAAGCTGAAGATCTCGCCCTGGATCTGGTCGAAGTTCTGCCGGTAACGGCAGCACGACTGCGTGCCGTTCTCGAACGTTAGCAGCCGGTTCTGCATGCGGCCGCAGCCCTCCTCCACCTTGACGAGCGCCGAGTGGCGGCAGAATTCGCGCCACTCGTCCACGTCACGCTGGCTGAAGCCACGCGGTAGCGCCGCCTCCACGGCTGCGTTCCAGAAGATGCCGTCCGTGAGTCGGGACGAGGCCACACCTTCGTCATCTGTATTGTTTCCGGCGGCCGGCACCGGCGCCTCCGTCGGCGGCGGCGCGGTCGGCTCGTCCGTCGTGGTCGTCGGCGTCGGCGACGACGACAATGTCAGCTCAGGCAGCGGTGTCGTCGTCGTCGCTTGCGACGGCGCGTCAGCGTCTCGCACGGTGTCCATGGGCGGCATGACGGCGCGCGGCGGGGTCTCGGCCGGCGGCCGCCGCGTCAACACCTCCACCAGGTTGCCGCGCGCGCTGGCGTAGTCCTGCACAACCGTCTGCGGCGCCGGGCCGCGGCCAGGCGCCACCTCCGCCGAGCCGTAGAGCGGCGGCAGCACGTACAGCGGGATCAGTACGCCCAGCACCGTACCCAGTACAAACGCCACGCCGGCCGTGATCACGCACAGCGCCTTGGACGTGCGCGACGGCGTCACGCGCACGCCGAACAGCTCCACCTTACTCATGGTGCGCCGGCGGGGTCAGCTCGCATGGGCGGCGGCCGGTCGGCAGCGGGCGGGCGGCGTCCGGGCGGGGCGGCGGCGGGCGCGAGACTGCGCTGCGACCGGGCCGGCCGCGCAGCCAGCTGGGGAGAGAGCCGCCGGCGAGGGGCGGAGCCTGGCGGGCTCGGGGCGCGCGCCGAGCCGTCCGACCTGCCGACACGTCAGGGCGCTCAGTCGGACCGCCCGGCCATGGGAATCACGGCGCGCCGCATCATGACGGGACAGAGCGTGGAGGGAGGGGGGGGGGGGCGGTGCAGGCGACTTATAATACGGGGGGGGGGGGGGGGCAGGGGCAATGTCGTTTCACGTCTCGATACTCGTCCCATTGCAGCTATGCTGTTGACAAAACTGGAAGAGCGTGATGCGATTTCAGCGACACGTTCTCATCGGATCGCTGCGCAGTCCAGCTTGTTGGTAAAACCGGCCGCACCTGTAGCAAACTTCTGTCGAACCTCTGCGAGCATCAGCAGGCTTCTCTGAAACGTCATAACAGCACACTGCGCGCGCTCCGCTGCGACCAGTGCGCTGCAGAAAATGCAGAGCTTGCCTGGAATGGATACTGCAGAACAAATGTGCCGTTTGCACAAGACCTCCCAGCTTGATATCGTCGAGATTACGGCTATAAATCAACCGAAGACGACCACTGAATTTAGCGATATCGACATAAAACGCTGACAATGGGCGCTGACAAATCCCGGCATCCCGTTTATGAATGGAGATGCCAGCCTTAAAGGCCCGCCGTTTGGGAGCGTTGCTGATCATTTCCGGTGGCGGTTGTGCTGTGATAGATTCAAATTCTTTCCTGTTTTTTGGACGACGCTGGTAGGTATGTACAGCGGATGTGATCAGCATATTCTATCGCAAAAACTATCACAAATGCGTTTGTGCTGTTAATTTAGATGCCATGGGAGCATGTATTTCCTGAAAAACAGGAACAGTGCACGGACTAAAGACACAGTCATATTCTGATCAACCAAATCAGTGCGAAACAAAAATATTCACGTGAACGCAGGAATTTTAATACATGCATATTGATATCCTACATCACTCGTTTCAAATCCTTCCGTAATTTGGCTATAACGTTTGGTTGTATATCATGCTAATTAAAAATGCACCCATCGCAGAACTCACAAGTCATGATGCGGACATCGCTCTCTTGTGCTCTTAAGATAGTTGCGAAAAGTGGCCGGCGAAAATGTGCATTTTAAAAATCCCAAAATCTGAAACGTCACAAAATGCTAGTGAAAATGCTAGTGAACTAGAACTAGAGCAACTAGTTAGTGAAGTTCTGCTGTCATTCGCTGCAACGATGATCCTTTTCTGCATCTCTCGCAAAATTACGCTCCGTCCTCTAATTTTCGAGTGTCACGGTAAAATTTACGACAATACATTCCAGCTCGCGCATGGGCACCTGCCTAGGAGTAGCAACCACACTCCGTCGCCTACGTTTGTACATAAACGTGCAGAAGATCTCTACGACCATCGCAATGACTAACCGTCGTACATTATAAAGCAGTAGCTGCAGTGGATCGGTGCAGCCAGCCCAGCCGGCTGACTCGGCGTGATGGGGACTCGATAGAGGGCAGCCGGCCGGCCTGCGCCGCCAGCATGACGCCTGCATGGCCTTCTCTGGCCCATTGCCGGACCGTGCCGTGCGCCACACGTATCGCTTCAGTAACATGACGGGCAGGCTGCTGCCCGGACCCCGAGTGAGTTCGCGTGTCGCTCTGCAGACATCGGGGAATCGACAGACCTGGTGTAATGCTTGCGGATGCCGACAACGCTTACGTACATGCACATACTCGTAAACGGTATGCGCGGTGCAGTGTACATGCATATGCTGCTTACTCAGCGGCATGGACCGCTGGTCTTAGTAAGATACGCTGAATGTTGGTTATTAAGTTTTAAGGGCGCGGCAACTGCCTTGCCATTTGCTTTGGTTATTGTGGCTTTGCTGGCTGAATGCGTTGAATGCTAGTCTACCAGGGCTGAATGCATCAGAGCCAAACGAAACAAACCCATAATCATCAGCGGGTCAATTTTACTTTAGCGCCCGGCTTAGAATTCATTATTGCTAACAGTGCTCCACTGTCTGGAAGCACGTTGGTTAGCGGCATCCCTTATTCTGGCGTCTGGTAGGCGGAGAGAGACCCCAGAAACGGGAATAGGCGGAAAGGAGGAATAGTTGCATCCGTTTTTACCCTGAGCTCCCTCCTGCTACAACTGGGGAGAATATGACTAATATGCTTAGATATGAAGACAGCTTTAACCTTACCTTCAGATTTAACGGTAAAGTTTTGGAGAGCACATCTTCGTCTTTTGGCAACCAACTTCTGAATGGCATCCTTTAAATGGGTAACTTTGTCCCACCCTGAGGTAAATTTTATCACACGTTAGGAGAAGTCGTGCTGATGTTTCTCTTTTGTCATAGAGCAAGTTGTATCGCAAACAAGCTAAATGATTTATACAACTTAAAGTCCAAATCCGCTCGTCTTCGTCATCTCACAATTCATAGTGATCGCGACTCGACAAATGCTTGCCGTTTTTATCGATCAGCGTTTGTTTTACAGCCACTGCCACCTCGGTTTTGTTGGTTCAACTAGAAATTATGGATCTACATATGATGTGATGTAGATGTCAAGCTGTTGTCTGGATGACAATAAGTCATGGCAATCCTGACAGTCAATCATTGACAGTAAGTCTCTATGACATATGGTCGGTACATTATATCACCCATACAACATGCCCAGGCACAGTTGATATATGCATTGCTCGTCCTCTCGGAATAAAGCTCACGCCACCTCGAAAGCATTGGCAAGCAGGCGTCAAATGTTTTGTAATATATACGATACGTGTACTTCCCATCACTCAGTATGGAATTCAAATTGGTCTAGGTATATCGCAGCCCTCAAACGCACATTTACACCGATCGCTAGAACTGTCAAAGATAGGTAAACACCATGTCTCGCTCATTCCAAGACGCGTGCACGTATGCGGCCGGAAGTACACTGAAAGGCAGAAGGAGCTGCTGTGCATCAATGAGCCACTCATTTGCTGTTAATTGATGTTTTAGGGCGCGCCGACTACAATGGTCATTTTGTGCCCATCAGCTAAGGTGCTCAAGACTGCCATACATCTCACAGATTTGGAATAAATGACCCTGATACTAGTTAGACATGATGCAACTCGCCACTCTTTCTCCTGGCATTGTGCCAACTTATCACTATTTCCCCCAGTATTGTGCTCAGCTCGCCACTCTCTCTCCTAGTGTTGTACCCCATGCATCTGGCAACACGCGATTTGAGACTTCCTAACCACCAGGCCAGAAGTAGGGATCTTCCAGTCGAATGAGTGCAAAGGCTTGAAACGATGACATGCAGGGCGCAATTGTCATTTTCTCATTCCAATCGTAATCTTTACATGTCTTAAAATTGACGCCACGCAGAGTTCTCAAGAAAGTGTCAATGTCGACAGCGCAAAGCCAGTTCTCAAGACAGTCACCTGCCTAAATGGTACACATTGGACTACACAAAATGTTCCCGTTCTACCACCGGCTGATCTTCACGTGACTTAAAAGGTTTTTTTTTAATTCCATACTATCACACTCACATTCACATGTACGATTACGGCAAAACGCATGAGCCTTTTCTCTAGACGTTGTTCTTGATCACGCTACTGCTAACATAATCGCGATTATCTCCTGCTGACCACCAGCGCGGCAGCGGCGCCGAGCCATCTGCGATCCCAACTACTGCTCCATCGGCCCAATGCGCTGAGAGGTGAGCCAGGCTTTGCATCATTAACCATTGCGATAAAATCGCATTTTTTAGGGTGACTGTAAACCTGGCAATGCCACCACTACAGATTTTCGCAACGTAAAAGAGACCATTAATTTTGTATGTTGTTAAGTGTACTTGCGAGGAACATCATGGTGATGATGATGATGATTTGGGGTTTTAGGGCGCATCGACTGCTGTAGGTCATGCAGCGCCCAAGGAACATCATGCATATATATATATATATATATATATATATATATATATATATATATATATATATATATATATGGCAGTAATAATAGCCTTCTTCCTCGTTGAAAACTGGGCTAATGGAGAAAGATGCGTAGATATTTCGGCAACATGTCTTTCCGTTTCGATGCAGGCAGGTTTAAAAATATAATTGAAAGTATCATTGCCGAAATATCATCGTAGCTATCTCTCCATTCTCCTGGTTTTTCTACGATGACTAGGACTATTGCTGCTGTGCTATTTATAGACAATTAGTTTGCTCAGAGGCTGGCTATGCTGAAAACTCGCGGGGTTTAAAATTTCTTAGAATACGAAAATGTTGGGTTCTGATGGAAGTGTACAAAGGACAGTGAAGACCAGATGCGACGTGCCTTCTGGGTGAGTCACATGCACAAGCTGGCAGGTTTGAATTAAGAGCAGGGTAAAAGTGAGCGTATGGACTGGAAGATCTTACTCCCAGTTTTGAGGGCATTATACTACCTGTTTTGATCTTGAGAGTACTGCAGAATGAAGGGATTGGTACCCCTAGCCGCTGCCCTCTTGTGAAGACATTGCGGGATGGGCGAGACTCGATAACATGAGGTAGACTGCTCAAGTCTCTTGCGGTGGTGGGAACGAAGATTCATACAAAATGTATGCTAAGGCTTAGGCGAAGTGTGCGCGTTTTTCAGCTGCGTAGAGTTTTCGCTGAAACAGGCAGAACTGAGTGCACATACTATGAAAATTCTGACCGAATGCTTAATTGCAGGCTGTGCTAACTTGCAAGTCCGCTAATTTTACGTCGTGTGACAATTGAACATCGCACAAGATCATGAAGAATGTCGTCAGCATGTGCTCTGGATTGTGCACCAGTGATAGGCGTTCTGCCCTGTTTTCGATAGCCTGCAGTCGATGTGAGCCATATATGACAGATGTCCGTCGTATATTGTGTCGCAGTAGTCGCCGTGTGGTTGCACCTATATTTGGTATATTTTTGTTAGAAATGGCCTGGACACGCAC